AACATCGATTATGCGATAGAGTTCAAGTTAATGTAAATAATATAGCTGCCATTGCTAGACAAATTCAAAGAGGTTCAAAATCTAATGAGGTACGACGACACAAATTTATTTTCCATCCGTTATTGTTTTGTGTGCCATCATATGATTTCACACAAGTTTCATCACAATGATATTATGTCTGGTTGTAATTTAATTTTTAAATATAACTATAATATTTTGTTGTAGAATTTGATGGCAACAGCGAAAAATTTTGCTCTACAAGAAGCTGCAATTGAGAATTCGGAAAGTGTAAGTAGTCTTTATGCCATCGATATTATTTTTTAATTTTTTATGTATATTTTATATTATTAATTTGTAATATTGTTGTTATTAGAATGTTAACAAGCTATTGGTTTTGTCAACACAACTTAATAGTCAATTAGAAGCGATTGAAAATAATGCATCAAAAATCGAAGAAGCATTGGAACAAGTTCATGCAATGCAACGCTAAATTTTCTATTCGATATACCTTTCTACCTGGGTGTTTTTTAAGTAAGTCATAAAATGTCTTTCATTAAAAATTTTTTTTATAAAATAATTTTTATAAAAATGTAATTTTTTTTAAAAAAATTTATTTTATAAAAAAGATAATTTTTTATTTTATTTCTACTAAATTCAACTAAATTCATTACATTGAATTTAAAAAAAAAAAAAAAGTAGAAATATGTTTTATTTTTCTATATATATTTAACGAAAGGCTCAAATTTTCGTTAATATTTTACATTTTGCAAAATAAAAATTACAAATATAAAATGATATGACGTAATTAGACAAATAATACTCAAAATGAACGTTTTTTACTTTGACGTTTTGTTGCCATTACTTGTTAGTTATTTAAAACGTCGTGGTTTTAGATAAACAAGTTGTCACTCTATGCATGAAATTTGATAGGATATTTCACCATGAGGATAATTAAAAAAAAAAAATCTACTTTATAGGTATAATTTAAAAAAGTAATTTTAAAAAAATTTTTAATTTAAATAAATAATTATATCGCATTAATAAAAGTGAATCGATCATCTTTATTTATTATTATTATTATTTTAAATGTATAAATATAAAGTTTTATTTTTAAAGTCGGCATTTGCATTTAAAGGTGACTTTAAAAAAAAAATTTTGTCACGTAATTAATTTTT